TATGATAAGTAAGTGGAATTTTCATTACTGGGGGGCACTGTACCTCTGAATAGTATCACCTATGTACCCTGAGTATGAGCTTTCCATAGGTGGTCATTGTTGGAAAAAATAATGCTGGACTAGACAGACCAGGGTCTGGTCCAAAAATTCACTTCACACATTCTTCTGTCTACCCCATAAAATGTCCCTAATGTAGGTCACCCCTGGGTTCCAAAACAAGTGGTGTGCTCCTTGGTTTTCTACAGATGACCAGCATAGCACAATCTAGGGTTGCCAAGTGGCACTTACCTCTTCTGCGGGGGACTCCCAGGTGGCTCCTGGAGCACGCACGCCGCATGCATGTCACCAGGAAGTGACGTTATGACACCGGGCACGCTGGGGGTGGGGCCACGACCATACAAGGGAAAACCAGAGTTTTCCCTTGTATGGCTGTGGCCCCGCCCCCAGGGTGCCCATGTCACTTCCTGGTGACGCGCACGTTGGGGAGGAGTTCCCCCCGGGGCCTGATCCAGCGGCGCTGGGGAACGGGCCTCTGGGGCGGGGGTTTCCCCGCCCCCCAGGGGAACTTGGGATCCCTAGCACAATCAGAGAACTCTGGGTGTGCAACAAATTCTTGACCAGGTCTTAATTTTAGGAGACAATCTACTGATGGCTCTGTTAAAGATCTAGGAGAGCTTGGAGAAAGTGACTTTTCCCAGCAGAGGGGAGGGCAAAGAGGTTTGTGTTTGTGTATGAGGACACAGTAGTTTCGAGTTGGAATAAACCAAGGAAGAGGGACTTCTGTGAATTGTGCTCTACTTATATATTTGTAAATAAAGTGAACATTACAAAAAACCAGTTCGTGAGCTCTTTGTTCCAAAGGAAACCAATGATATAACTTTATAGCCTCCAAGGCAAAGTGCAATTTTAAAAGTAGGACCTGGTTTTCCAGTGGTTGGGATTATTCAGAAGCTTGAACAATAAGAGTTATTGGATATGAACAATAGCAGACAAAGGAGCAAATCAAACATCATTTATTACTGAGAAGTTAAGCTGTCATAAAGCAAATAAAAACAACGTCAACAAATGTATTGATATATTTTAAATGTCTATATTCCTCCAGGACACAAATTGGTAACTGAGATGGCTCGCGGCATGCTGATAAATAAAAATAAAGAACTATAGGCTAATCAAAAATGGAAAATGTCACATCTTAAATTCAACAAGACAGTAACAGAGGCTAAAAGAAGGGCAACCGGTGATTAAAAATACTCCAAATGAAAGAGATAAAAAAAATCAAAGTTTCCTCAGAACCAGCATTTGCTGCCTAAACCAATACCATTGGGGCAAAGTTCCTAAATATGCAGTTCTCAAAACCAACTGTAAATGTAGTTTAAAACATCTGGGAAAATTAGAACGATATAACCCTGGTGCTTGATGGAATGTAAGGTCGGTAACAGGCAAGCTTCTATGGGAGAGGAAAGTATGGATGCCCCTACTGAAAAGACCCTGTTTCCTGTGCATAACTGCCTCATTTCAGTAAATGAGGGCACTCTAAGCAGACCCTCCCATTATTAGCTTAGTGGGCAAGCTGGAATGTATGTTACAAAAAATGTCTTTGTAAAAACCATATAGGCCTCTATAGGCAACACCAGCAGTTTAATTTAGCTTTGATGTAAAGCAGGTATAAAATAGAAAAAAAGCTACCGACTTTGGAAATAAAAGAAATCAGATGGAAGGAGATTGCCTCTGAACTTAAAAGAACCAGACACAGATCTTGATTAATCCTTCTTTTCACATCCTTGGTGAACGGGTGGGATATAAAAGAAAGAATTGATAAAATCCCTTTTCCTCTGTTCTTCCTTACCAAAAGCCAGCAAAGTATCTAAAAACCTGCATTGTATAACTTTTTTAAAAGATCCAAAAATCACAGAAGTTTCCCCCGTAGTAGTAGTAGTAGTAGTAGTAGTAGAGCTACCCAGGAGGCTGAAGTAACAAACAACAGACTAATGAGCCAGTGTAAAGTACCAAAGGGATTGGACCAGTCCCAATAGAGCAACTCTACTGTCTTCATTACCTTACTGAATCCTCAAATCATAAACAGCTCACAGGGAGAGATAATGGCCATGTTCAATTGGCGTCCTAACATTGACAAAAGCTAGAGTTTAGCAAAGCAAGTTAGGTTGACTCTCATCTTAGAAGGCTGTACAAATGTGTTGGAGGAGCCGCTGAGAAGCTGGTTGAAGAAGCAGAGCTTATTAGTGAAGCACTTCCTTGGCATGCATGAGGTCCCTGGCTCCTCAACTTCAAAGGACAGCAGAGAAGAAGACAAGGGTATCTGCCAGACACTATGCCGTTCTGCCGCCTATCATGATAGATGGTGCCAGGCTTGCTGGACCACATCTCTGAAAGTAGCTTCTAACCTTTTCTTACATATGAGTCCCTTTCTCAGAGAAACACTGACGGCGAAGAAATTGAACAGGATGTTCCCAAACAATGTGATGGCAGCATATTCCCAACCAGTATGATGAGCCCAATTTTTCTTCATTGGTGATTGTCCAAAGTCTAGAAGATCTTGCCATTTGTCAAATGTATGAGCAGCAGCCTTTTTGGAACAACATGGAGAAGCTCTCCATCAGTGGATGAGATGAGTCAGGTCTTTCCTGAAATCCATGATAGTTCAGGCACCTTCCAAACAGTTGCACTGGACAGCTGCCTGAAATATACCTTAATGAAAGCTGTTGACATGGATTACTCTGTAGTGTTTGAGGAATCTCTGGGAGGAGAGCCAAGGTAGGATTACATCTTGTAATATGGAATGTGTAGGAAAGGGGCCCAGTTTGGGCATTTTAACCTAGCACTGGTGAGATTGATGGAATCATCTTCTCTGGATCTTAGTCTTAGATTAATTGGGGACTAATTAACTGAAAAAAATCTTTTTAAGCACTGGATTTTGGCTGATTTTGTTAATTTTTGTTTGTTTGCCATCAAATCGCAGCCGATTTTGAGCCGTCCTATAGGCTTTATAAAGCAAGAGATGTTCAGAGGTGGTTTGCCATGGCCTGCCTCTATGTAGCAACCCTGGGCTTCCCTGCTCAGTATTGAGAATAATTATTAGTTAGTACAGAAGAGTTTGCCCAGTCATGGAAGCACGATATTGCGTACAGTGTATAAACTTCCAAGAAATAAACTGCAAAAGGTAAAACTTACATTTATTTAAGTAGATTCGGTTCACATCCAGGTTGCAATCAAAAGGAGAGAAAGAATTGTAACCTAAAGGATACTATACCGGGTACCCTATCGAAAATGGCCAGTTCATTCAGTGGCATGTATGTGCAAGAAAGGGGACACTGCTTCTTGCAGGAGAGACCTGTAGATGCATCAGACTTCATGAAGAACCATGAGGAGAGTGCGATAGAACAAAGGACACAGAGCAAGAGAGGAGGGGTCAGAGAGAAGCTCCCAGGTTAAGAATAAATAGAAATGCAATTTTTTTTCCTTGGAGGTCTGACATGAGCAACACCTTCACCAGGAAGTTTTAAAAGCCCCCCCCCACCCCGGGTAGAGAACAGGCAAGAAGGGAGAAGTCAGTCCAATTGCTCTCCAGCTTATCTGTATACATATGATAACAGTTCTAGCAGGAGAGACAATGGGATGGTCAAGCTTCCCCCTCCCTCAAGCAGGGAGCAGAGATTTGGAGATATTAAATGCTAGAGAGTCTCCAGGTAGGAGATTCTTGGAGATCTCCAGGAAAAGCCTCTTTGACCTGCCCTGCCCTGGTCAGGGGGTGGGGGAAAAGAGGGATGATAAAAGCTCCTTGCAGCAGGAAGGAGGTTTCTTTTCCTTGAGTGTGGAGTCCAAGGGCAGACACAGAATTCTCCGCTGGGTAAGCAGCCATTGAGCATGTGCTCACCTAAAGATCTGGAGCAAGCCTCAAGGTAATGGCAACGCTGTAGAGATTTAGAACTCCGAAGCTTATGGAGCCTGTGTTATATTTTAGAATCTGATAGGGCATGTATAGAGAGAGGGAGAGAGAATTTGCATTTTACAAATTTCTGTTGCTCAATCTGGTGCTGTGCTAAAAGTATGCTTGCGAACATTTTCTTTTTAATAAATACTTTATAACTTAAGATGCTGACTGGGGTTCTCTGTACCACATAGACCTCCACTGTCTCAGACACACTATTTTAACAGGAGCACCAGGAGGCAGGCAGGCAGTTCACAAGTGGCTATTTCTCCAGGGGCACACAAGGCAGCAAATGGTTCCTCTGGTGACCAGGGAGACACAAAGGCAAGGCCTCCGAACTTGGAAGGGAAGCTGAGCACCCTGACCCTCCCAGTGAGAAATTCCTTACGAAGGTGAGGTGGTGGTGATGGTGGAGAGAGAAAGAAAAGCCTCTCCAGAGGTTGGGTAAAACCTTCGAAGGCAGGGTGGAAGAGGGGCTTCAGGCCAGAGTAGGCCCATTCTGCCACAAGAGGAATTCCATTAAGGAGATATACATCTATACGTCTACAACAATGTAGCACACATCCCCCCCCCATGTCCAGGCATGCGGAGTCGCATTACTCCAACACTTAGCTTCCAAAGTCTGACAAGGCTGGGCTAACCCAATTTTGTTTGCTTGTTTGTTAGCTAATGGATAAAATGTCCAGAATAGAACATCTCACTGAGGCAAATTCTGTAATGTAAGAATTGTCATTTTATTAAGCAATATTGAAAATGCGGGAGCCGAATAACAGATACCGCTTGTAGCTGTCATTCAAGAGAGTCAGTCATCTTAGAGCAGCGCAGTAGAAATAAGCATAAAACTTATAGTTATAGATGTATGAGACACACAGAAAAAAAGGAACAATGTAAAATGAAGGAAAGCATTTGGACATACATTTAGAGGCTGAGTCTGATGGGCTGGTTTGGGTTGACTGCAGTAAAACATTGACCAAAATACGGTCAACAAAATACAGTTGTTCCGATCCCAGATAATGTCACCAGCTTGTCTTTTCTGTGCAGACCGGAGCCCAGGATGGTTTCTGAAAACCTCTCTTCCATCACAGAATTCATCCTAGTGGGACTTACTAATCGCCGACAGACACAGATCCTGCTCTTTGTGGTCGTCCTCCTCATCTATTCCCTCGCCCTTATAGGAAACCTGCTGATCATCATGCTGGTGCGAACAGATCCCTCCCTCCAGACCCCCATGTACTTCTTCCTCTTGCACCTCTCTGTCTTGGAGATCTGCTATATCAACTGCAGCATGCCCCAGATGCTGGCTCACCTTCTCTCTGGACACGGAGCCATCTCCTTCAACCGTTGCATGGTCCAGATGTACATGATCATCTGCCTGGGTAGCGTCGAGTGTTTTCTGCTGGGCACCATGGCTTATGACCGCTACTTGGCCATCTGCCATCCTCTGCTCTATGTCACTGCCATGGGTAGGTGGCGCCAGGTGCAGCTTGCCTCAGCCTCCTGGGCAGGTGGCTTCCTTCTTGCTTCAATAAATTCCAGCTTCACCTTCCGCCTCCCCTTCTGTGGCCCCAACCGCATCAATCACTTCTTCTGCGACATGCCGGTTATGATCAAGCTGGCTTGCACCGACACACGAGAGACTGAGCTCAATACCATCGTGGTGTCTGCACTGATCATTCTCCTGCCCTTTTTGGTTATCCTGATCTCCTACATGCTCATACTGTCCTCGGTGATAAAAATGCAGTCAGCCACTGGGTGGCACAAGGCCTTCTCCACGTGTGCCTCCCACTTGACTGTGGTCATTTTGTCCTATGGCATCCTCATTATTACATACTTGAGTTCTGGATCAGAGGCATCTCCTGATCGTGACAAGGGACTTGCTGTCTTTTACGTTGTGGTCACCCCCTTGCTCAACCCTATCATCTATACCCTACGCAACAAGGACATCCATGGGGCTCTGTCCAGGGTGCTGCAAAGATGGTGATTTAAACAGGAAAGATGAGCACAGGTGTCTTGATGAACTAGTCCCAGTTTTGTCCATGGGGTTCTATGCCATGGGGGTCAGTGGGGATTGTATGTTGTATTTGGGCATGGGAACTCTGATCACTGCTCATCCTTGGGGACAGTGCTATCTCGGATCTCATTTAGATCTGGGTCCCGTGTTGAGAACATATTATAATTTAGAAACCCACATTTGTGTCTTTGGACATGATGGGGGAAAGACTTGACCAAGAACTTATTTCTGTTCTATAAACCGCAGTAAAAATAGTTGTTGCCAGCAACTGGAAATCTGATAAGTTATCTTTATCATTGTGGTACTCTAAGGTTTGGGATTTTCATGCTATGGTGTTTAGTCATGCCGGCCACATGACCACGGAAACGTCTTTGGACAGCGCTGGCTCTTCGGCTTTGAAACGGAGATGAGCACCGCAACCCTAGAGTCGGATTCGACTGGCTTTCGAGCAAGGGAACCTTTACCTTTTAACCTATGTATACAGGGTTCCTGCTTCTTCCAGATGTACCAGAAATACACTCAAAGGCTGGCTTCACCTCAAAGGCTTCCTTCTTATGGGTGTGTGTCTGTAACTGGCATCACTTTTGGGTCACCACACAGTTCAGTCCCTTTTGCACACTACTTGCCCAGTCCAGTTTCTATCACTTATGAGCAATGTCCATAAGAGCGCTATAAGGGCCTTGCAGGGCAACACTGGCACCAGTCGGACTCTGTGAGCTCCCCTCTCTTCCCTTCAGTGGTCTGACTGCACTAAAAGGGGGAGTGGGTGTGAGCGTGCATGTGGGGGGTTAGTTCCCCCCTCCCTGAAGCTTGGCCAAGACTGCCAGGCTGTAGCTGGCAACCCTTGGGAGAGTTTAAAGGGGAGGAATTAATATGCACTGTCACGCTGGCATCACTTCTAGTCTGGGCTTTTTTTGTAGAAAAAGCCCAGCAGGAACTCATTAGCATATTAGGCCACACCCCTATGTCTTCCCTTGGCTTGCCTGGGCGCCCTGGGGCGCTGCTGCGGGGAGCCCGGGCAAGCCGGCCCTTAGGGGGGGCAGTTTAAACTGCCTTTCCTTGGCTTGCCCGGGCAAGCCAGCCCTTGGACAGGCTGGAGAAGGCATGGGGAGGCAATTAAATGCCTCCCCGATCCTCCTAGGGCCCACCTGGCCCACCCGCCTCAGAGTCACCGGGGGGGGTCGCTCTCCAGGCCTTCCCTCTGTAGCCACACACGCAGAGGTTTTGGCTGGAGTGGGCGTGGCCAACTATGAAGCCAGCCGGAACTCCGTTCCTGTGCGTTCTTACCCCAAAATAGCCCCGGCTTCTAGTGATGTCCGGAAGTGATGCCACAGGATGCACCAAGGGTTTGTAAAAACTCTGTGGTAAATCATAGAGTTTTTGCAAATCCTAGAGCATGCAGTCATGTTACTTCTGGTTTTCTTCAGATGATGCCAATGCACACCCCAGCTCCCCCCTCGTTTCTTCCCCCTGGTGCTTCATGCACCTCTGGGCAAAATACCAGGCTGCCAGGAATTTGCTACAGTGGAAAACCTGGCAACCGTACTCTGTTTGATCTCTGTGTGGTTGAATGGCCAGGCCCACTGGTGAGCAGTTTAATCACAGTCTGAGAGCTTTAAAAGGGAAAAAAAAGATCTTTGTTTAACAAGAAAGCCCTCCTGTCAACTATGCACACAAAAAGGCATGGAAATACATATCAGAGCAAAGCTACGTGTGTTACAGAAACTAAGAAAAGAGATGAAAACCGAACTAATTAGGTTTCTCTGGTCACTGATTTTACCTTGGCATTTGTTTCGGAGAAATGGGCCCAAGACAACGTGAACTTATAAAATCAGGATGGCCCTTGCAGACGTCACTCAGCTTTACTGTCAGTTCAGAGCTCCTTGGCTTGCACAGTTCACACGACGTGAGAAGAACCTTTTAACCCTTTCCTTTCCAGCTGGGAGAGGTTCTGCTTGACCTGTCCTGAAACACAGAGTGATTCCCCATGTTTCCCACCAGCTAGCATCTAACCAATGAGGTTTGTGGTGGTCCCCTGGCTTTGAAGCCCCCGTGGGTCTGGATTAGGGTTGCCAGGTCTCTCCTGGCAACTTTTGGGGGATAGGGGAACTTACCAGGAGAGGAAGGCCCAGGCAACACGGAGATGTCATTCCCAGAGTAGACAGATAGTGACATCATCAAGTCACGTCTCAGTGACACTCTGGTATTCAAGCAAAAACTCGATGGCTAGGGTTGCCAAGTCTGGTTTTGAAAATACCTGGAGACTTTGGGGGTGGAGCCAGGAGAGGGCGGGGTTTGGGGAGGGGAGGGGCCTCAGCACAGTACAATGCCATTGAGTTCACCCTCCAAAGCAGCCATTTTCTCCAGGGGAGCTGATCTCTTTCGGCTGGGAATCAGTTGTAAAAGCGGGAGATCCCCAGGCCCCACCTGGAGGCTGGCAACCCTATCGATGGCAAAAAACCCCAGCTTCTACCATAGGGTTTTTGCCCAAACACCAGATCATCACCTGGACTTTGCTGGTGTCATGACATCACTTCCTGTGCACACTGAAAATGATGTTGCCATATTGCCTGGGCCTTTCTCACTCTCCTGGTAAGTTCCTCCACCAGTCAGTTGATCAGTGGAGGGGAGCGGGACCTGCTGGTGGTGGGGACCCCTGCCTCTACCTGGGGAGCTGACAAGCCTAGTCAGGATATCAAAAGCCAGCCATTTTGTTTCTTCCTAGCAGTACGGCAAATTATCCCTATAAATAGGGGGGCTTTCCTTCCTGTGTGTAACAAGAAGCTTTTGTTGTCTGGTTCCCATGTGGTCTGAGGCCCTCAGGGTTGTAAAACCAGCTTCTCTGTTATTCAGGGACATTCCACAATTTCTTGTCATAACAGTAGGCACTTTTTGAATTTGAGAGGGTGGGCACCATCTCAATATGTCCACCATAGGAGGTGAGATTCATCACTGAATACCTGCCATGGGGGAGGGTGCGGGAATCACAAAAGGCCGAGAGGTTCGAAACCAAGCATCATGCTATGATGGGGGAAGCTTTCTCTACATTGTTGTTCCATGAAGACCCTGAAGTCTCCTGAAGCATCTCCTGGACTAAAGAAGCCAGAGGAAGTCAGGACTGGAATTTTACTTTAGAGAAGAGGCAGGTAGACACCAGGAAATACACAAATAGGCAATATGACAACATGTTGTTTGAAGTAACAAACAACAGACTACTAATGAACCAGAGAGAAGTACCAAAGGGATCAGAGCAATCCCTGTGGAGATCTGCTATCACCTTAGCAGAGTCCTCCAATCGTCGAAAAGTCACGGGGACTAAAACCATCCACATGTCAACATTTTAACACTAAGAATAGTCAGGTATTATGAAACTGGTTGAACTGATTATCATCTCAGGGAACACCTGCCAAGGTGGTTTAAAAACTGGAGCTTAGAAGCACATATGAGTTCCCTGGCATCACTGCAGGCACGCAAGGATGCAAGGACATCCGCTGTGAAAGTCTGCCACCTGCCAAGACAGACAGTGCTCAGCTTGGTGGACCATTGCTTTCAAAGCAGCTCTTATCCTGTCCTTAGACTCAAGTAGTTTTTTAAATAGAAGCTCTGATGGCTAACCAAATAAGCTGCATGCTCCCAGCGAGCGGGATGACCTGTGTGTTTCTCCATCTGTGCGTATATCCAAATTCACTCCAGAAGCTCTTGCCATTTTATAAAATGAATGGGCAACAGCCTTTTGGGAACAACACCGAGAAGCTCTCCATGAGCAGATGAGAGACAATCCAGGGATCTTCCAAATGGTTGCACAAGAAAGCTGCCAGCTATTGTATATCTCAACATAAGCTGCTGACATGAGAAACTCTGTTGGTTTTGAGGACCATCTGGGAAGAGAAGCAAGGTAAAATTACATCTTCTGTAATTTAAAAAAGGATCTGTTTGACCGTAGCAGGAGAGTTGACCGCTCAATAAGCAACATTTAAAATACAGGAATCAAATGACAGATAATCCTCAAAGTTATTATTCCAGAAGGGAAACCATGATAGCCTGTTGCTCTAAAGGCAAACAGCCCTCTTGTAATGATCAACCTTTGAGAGGCGCATTCAGAAAAGGGAACACTGGAAAGGAAAGGTGGATGGAGATTAATAAGCGTTAGAATGGATTTGGTAGCACCATAGAGACTAACACGGTGTTCGGGGATATGAGCTTTCAAGAGACAAAGCTCTCTCTGTCGGCTTCCAAAAGATTAAGAAGCTGAGCTTAACGTGTGGATTTGGGTTCACATCCATGTGGCCAAGAACAAAACGTGAGTTATTCTAAGATTGTTTACAGAGATTGTCACTGACTCCTGCCATTTCTGCCCAGACAGGAACCCTGGATGGGAAATGAGAACTTCACTTCCATCACAGAATTCATCTTGGTGGGACTCACTAACCACCGAAAGACACAGATCTTTCTTTTCCCGATCATTCTCCTCACTTACTCACTCACTGTTATGGGGAACCTGGTGATTGTTGCGTTGGTGTGAGTTGACGCCTCCCTCCATACCCCCATGTACTTCTTCCTCTCAAATCTTTCGGTTCTAGAGATCGGTTTTGTTACTTCCAGCACGCCCCAGATGTTGGCTCATCTACTGTCTGGGAATGGAGTCATCTCCTTTACCCGCTGCATGCTCCATATGTACATGACTGTTTCCCTGGGTAGCGTCGAGTGTTTTCTGCTGGCTGCCATGGCTTATGACCGCTACTTGGCCATCTGCCGTCCCCTGCTATATGTCACTGCCATGGGTAGGTGGCGTCAAGTCCAGCTTGCCTCCGCCTCTTGGGCAAGTGGCTTCCTTCTTACTTCAATAAATGTGAGCTTCATCCTCCACCTTCCCTACTGTGGCCCCAACCGCATCAATCACTTCTTCTGCGACATGCCCATTGTGTTGAAACTCGCATGCACTGACATACGTGTGACAGAGCACACC